TTAAACACTGTGTCCTCTGGTCTCCATAATTCCTTTTCCCTGCCTTTCTGGATCACAAGCAGCCTTCCAGTAATATGGCATGTACAAAGAGGAGCTCTTCACAATACTCCCAACTGTCTTTGATGTCTCGCTTCTCCAAACCCACCCAACCCACTCTCCTTATCACCTGTGACCACACATAGCACCTCCAGGATGAGGTTGTGGAAGAATACATTGCCATGGTAATCATTCATTAAGTTCATTGGTACATTTTAGGTATACAATAGGATGACATTCATCATTGGGAATTTGTACCTTTACATGATATATCTTGGTTGTTATATTTTCCCCATTCCCCTGCCCTCCCTTCAACCCCTCCACCCCTAAATGTTTACAAAGACTTTGCTTCCGTTTTTTCCTTTTCTCATATTTATTCCTTTCCCTTCTTTCCTTTTCCCTCCCCCTCTTACTTCCCCTTCCCCTTTGGATTTTTTCTTCCTATTTCACGTTATCTATTATTCATTTTGATATTTATTTACACTTTCAGTTTCTCACACCAGAGGAACTATTTGGTATTTACACATGTGCTTCTTATTGATTTCACTTTAGAGTATGGCCTCACTGTGCATCCATTTAGCTATAAATGTCTCCAATTTCTCATTCTTTATGGTTGAGTAGCACTCCATTTTATATATATATAAAAAAAAACCCCACATGTTCTTTATCCAGCCTCCAGTTGATGGGCATTTGGGCTGTTTCCAAGTTTTAGCTATTACAAACTGTGCTGCTATGAACATGGGTGCACATATATCGGTGTGGTATGATGCTTTTAATTCTTTTGGGAAGATACCCAGCAGGGGAATAGCTGGGTCAAATGGGAGCTCTAGTTCTTTGAGGTATCTCCGTACTGATTTCCACAGTGGTTGCACCAGGCTACACTCCCACCAGCAATGGAGAAGGATTCCTTTTTGGCCACAGCCCCACCAGCATTTGTTATTGGTTGATTTCTTGATAGGAGCCATTCTTTCTGGGGTGAGGTGGAATCTCAGTGTTGTTTTCATTTGCAGCTCTTGAATGACCAGTGATGTTTTATTTTTTGAAGTTTGTTCACTGAAGGTCTTCAATGCTTTGGCAAGTGCTGAGCCTTCTACTTGCAAAATGCCATGTGAATTCATGCACTATTTTCCAAATTCATGCTTGCAGCCTAGGGCAAGGCACTGCCTTCTCTCAATTGGACCACTGCAGGAACCTTGTAACTGGTTTCCCTGCTTTCCTTTGTGCCCTGCCCACTTGTAATATTTTCTACACAGTGCAGTCAGAGGTAAATTATTGAATGTAAATTAGATCATATCACTCCACTGATTCAGTTCTCGCTCTGGCTGCCCGAAACACCCTGACTGAGTAAGAACTAAACCCTTCATTTGTGGCTTCTTCCCAGCACTGCACCTTCTTCCAGTTCCTTCCTGTTATCTCCTCTCACACTGGGCTCCAGTCACAAGGGTAACTTTTCTGTCCCCACCACCACCACCACACCCCCAGCACTTCTCCTTTTTCCCACAGAGCTGTGGGAATTTCGGTTCTCTCTGGTAGGTAGGTTCACCCCTTGATTCCTTGTAGGACTGGCAGCTTATCCTTGTCCTCACAAAGGTCTTCCTTGGTATTCAATATGCACTCCTTTTCCCCTTCTCTGGGGCTCTAGGTAGATAAGCACTAGATTATTTTCCTTATCTCCCTGGGAGCATTATAACCACCAGTAAGAGATTTTATATTTTCTGAAGCCTATCATCTGCCTGCCCTTTGTAAAATAATCTCCCCGAGTGCAGGGACCCTGTCTCTGGCTAGAATAATACATGGCACAAAGGAGGCCCTCTGTAAATACTCATCAACTCATTAAATGAACAAAATAAGTAGCATGCCCTCCCACAAGAGACAGACCTCTCCCTCACCCCACTGACACGACAGAGGGCTCTTTTTTTTTTTTTTTCCTCTGTCACTCTGACCATTTTTAATTGTGGGTGTCAGAAACTGACCACAAACTAACTATATAAAATGGGGTGGGAACTCCATGGAGGCCCCCTAGAAGGACTTGGAGAGCAGTCTTCTGCTTCTGAACGCTTCACTTTATTAGTTACATGCTCATAGTTCAGGAAAAATAGGCTGCCTTCAGGTTGAATACCTGACTGTCTTCAGGTTGAATTTATGGCTACCCAGTGACTTCCCTGCACATCTTTCTCCTGCTGTTTCACTTATTTCTGTGGGCTCCGTGGGTAGCCCAAGAAGGATCTTGTTGAGTCCTGGCCCTTGGCTTGGAGCCCAACTGGCCCCTCTTGTCATTTCTGTCTCCTAAAAATGGGCCAAGAAGCTCTTTGTCACTCCACTGGATCTCTGGCTGACCCCGTACAGATAGCAGAAATGCCAAGAGAAACCTGTAAGTGCTATGTGATTGGACCGGGGTGGCCATGGAATTTCACCTGTCCAGCACATATTCCTAGCACATACTGCCCAGCACCTGTCCAGCAATACTGTCACTTCATATCATCACCTGACTTCATATCATCAAGTATTGCCCAGCAATACTGTCACTTCATATCATCACCTGACCCCTCTTAGCAGTCATGGCTCCCGCCTTGGTGCCTGCTTCCTCAGGTCCCTTTTGGGCAACCGCCTGAAATTGTGAGGCACAACTCCTCTGCCTGCTGCATGCAAGCCAGCCAGAGCCCCAGGAGATGGTTCCTAAAAGTGGTGGCAGTGATCACCTTGGTCAGGCTTTTCCTAGGTCTTTGCCCCTTGCCTTTGTTGGCACTAGCCCTGCCTAGGGGCAGAGAGCTGGACTTTACAAGCCAGCAAGGTAAGGTCTGTGCCTCTTCTCTGCTCTCTTGGAATGCTTTCTGGGCCCTGAGAGAAAGTTCTCACTGCTTCCTCGGGTTTCTGGTTGTTCTTGCTCAGGTCCAGCCAACACTGCCGCCAGAGAAAATAGCTTTTATTTTTATTTTTTTTCTCCCAAAGAAGGTCAATGGGGTGGGGAGAGGATACATGCTGGGCAGGTGAAACTCTATGGCTGCCACAGTCCAATCATACAGCACTTACAGGTTTCTGTTGGCTTTTCTGTTATCCATAGGGACAGAATGAGCTCCAGCAGAGTGAAGATGTCCTAAGGGAAGGCAGTATATTTGGTCATATTTTTAAATATCTGACCCCACTGGCTCATTTCTGGCATGAAAGGAGAGACAGCAGGGTTGTTATGACTCTTGCAACTGGCCCCACCTGACCTTCTTCTTTTTGTTTCATCAGGCCTGTCTTGGGTTTACTCACATGGGCGACGTGTGCACATGCACTGATATGCATTTTGATGTTTAAGTTGTACTTCTTCTGAAGTTCTGATCATACCATTTCCCTCCTTGAACATGCTGAGTGGTGCCCATGACCTCAGGTACACAGTCTGAACACCCTGGCTTGCCTCTCAAGACCCCAGCCCTTCCAGTCTAGTCTCCTACTGTATGCTCTTGGAGACCATGCACTCTGTCCATGCCAGCTTATTACGCGTAACCAGAGGTGACAACGTGTGTGCTATCAGGCCACAGGGCCTTGGCTACAGAGTGATCCTTCTGCCTGGACTGCCTTGATTCCTGCCTAAACACAGCTGACTGCTACTCATCTTTCGGAGCCCATATTAGGGGTTTCATCTTTGATGCAGCTTCTGTTGAGTCCTACTAGGAAGGGTTAGTGGCCAGTCCTCCTTTCTGGGGGATTTAGGACCCTAGCCTCTGTTACAGTACTCTGATGGTCGTTAGCTGGCCTGTCCACTTAGCACCTAGCCCTGTGTGGCCTCACTGCTCCTGCCACGCCACTGCTGGCTCACCTCTTCTCTCTTCTCCCACACCTCCAACACAGCAACACTCACTGCTCACTTATCACATTGCCTGTGTTCCAGTCCCCAGTGTCATAAGTATTGGCTGGTAAACTGCCACTAGTGTCTAGAGAGAGTTTTCGGGTTTTGTTTTCGTTTTTCTTTGACCATGGATGTGCACTTTTTGGCTCAGATTGAGAACCTCACCATCATGAAGGCAAAGCCAAGAATAAACAGGTCCCTGTCCACAGCCCTTGGTTTGGCTTTCTTCACCTTATCATTGTGGATGGCACTATTGATGGGTGCTCTAGATTCCTTCATTACCAGGCAGCATGGACACAAACTGGGGGAGGAGTCAGGAGTTGGAGGTGTGCAGAAACCCAGGTCCATAGTTCTCCCATAGTCTGGGAGACTTTCCAGGCTTTCCAGTCCAGGTCGTCTGCTCCCAAGTACAAGCTCAAAAGCAGCCTATATCTTCCTGTCTCCTAGGCCCCCTTATCCCTAGGAATTGGCACCAGCCCCTGTAACATTTGTGGCATGGCATTATGAGTGAACACATGTCCTTTAGTCTCTTTCACAAGTGTTGCAGAAGAGGAAAAAGGCTGGAAAAGGGAGAGAGATTTCACAAGATGGATGAGCATGAAGGCACGTGGGAGCCTCAGAATCTGAGGTTTCTTGGTTATGGTGACATTTGGGTGCTCTCTCTCTCTCTCTCTCTCTCTCTCTCTCTCAACCCCTGGATCCTGGATGTAAGGAAACTATTCTCCTTGGCTTTGTTTAGGGCAGACAAGTGCACCTTCAAGCCCCCCCACCCCCACCCCCACCCCACCCCCCGCCGAGATAGATACCTGATTTAATCACGGAAACATTTCATTATGAGCATAGGGGCACAAAACACATCCTTCTTCGTGGAACCCAAGGTCCTTGGGTCCACAGTGGAGCCCTTTCCTGGCATAAATATAGGACGACCCTAGGAGACACTGAACACCTACCCCCCATCCCAGCTCCCAGTTTCTGCTCCAGCCCCCTCCCACCGCCAAAGGCCCCAAGCCCCGCTGCAGCCACAGGGGGAACCAAAGAGACAGAAGCCTTCCCAGCTGCCCGGACCACAGACGCCAACACCCCCCGCCCCCCACCACACGGCGCCCTCCCGCCCGCACCCCGAACACTAGCCCACGACCGACAGGCAGCAGCGACAGCAGCAGGCTGCAGGCTGCAGCGACTCTCGCCTCTGCGCTCTTGGCAGCGCTCGCCATCCCGTTGAGTTGGACTCGCCAGTTCGGCTAGCTGCGCCCTCCCACCCCCAGCTCCCGCTCGCGCCCCCGGCCGGGGTTCCGGCATCCTCCGGCCCTCCTGCCCTCCCCGCCCTCTCCTCCCCCTCAGTTCTCTGGAAGGGAGGTCGCGGCAGCGGCCCGGCGGCAGCGGTGACCGTGGCGACAGCGGAGACAGTGGCGGCTGCGGTGGCGGCAGCGGCCGTGGCGGCGGCCGAGGCTGCGGCGGCGACCGTGGCAGAGGCGGTGGCGGAGGCCTCCGTGGCGGAGGCGGAAGCAGAGGTGGAGGCTGAGGTGGAGGCCGAGGCCTCAGCAGAGGAGGCAGAGGCCGAGGCCATCCTGGCCGGGGAGGGGGCGGAGGCCTCCCGGGCGGCAGCGGCGGAGGCCAGCGCGGCCGAAGCCGCTGCCGCCGCAGCCAAGGCTGCGGCGTCCCCCTTGGGGGAGGTGGATGCGGATGAGGAGGTAGCAGCAGCAGTGGCGGCCGCGGCAGCCGGAGAGACGGATGAGGAGGTGGGCGGGGGCTCGGAGGGGAACCCAGACTTTCCGATGGCCTCGCTGTATGTGGGCGACCTGCACCCTGAGGTGACAGAAGCAATGCTATATGAGAAGTTCAGCCCAGCGGGGCCCATCCTCTCCATCCGCATTTGCAGGGACAAGATCACCCGCCGCTCCTTGGGCTACGCTTATGTCAACTACCAGCAACCGGTGGACGCCAAGCGGGCCCTGGAGACCCTGAACTTTGATGTTATAAAAGGCAGGCCAGTGCGCATCATGTGGTCCCAGAGGGACCCCTCGCTCCGCAAGAGCGGGGTGGGCAACGTCTTCATCAAGAACCTGGGCAAGACCATCGACAACAAGGCTCTGTACAACATCTTCTCGACCTTCGGCAACATCCTGTCCTGTAAAGTAGCCTGCGACGAAAAGGGGCCCAAGGGCTACGGGTTTGTGCATTTCCAGAAGCAGGAGTCTGCTGAGCGGGCCATAGATGCGATGAATGGCATGTTCCTGAACTACCGCAAAATTTTCGTCGGGAGATTCAAGTCACATAAAGAAAGAGAGGCGGAAAGGGGAGCCTGGGCCAGGCAGTCCACCGGTGCAGATTGCAAGGGTTTTGAGGACGACACCGACGAGGAGGCCACCTTGCGATGAGGACATCCCTGGAGCAAGCCAGCAGAGCCAAATCTTGGCTCCTACCCGGTTTACAACCCTCCCCCCCAACCCACCAGCAGTGTATTGTATTGGGAGTGCAGGTCTCTCTCTTTCCCTCGCCCTCTCCTTCTCCCTCTTCCTCTGCCTCCCTTCCTCCCTCTGTCCCTCCCCCTCTCCCTCTTCTCTCCCCTCTCCCTGTATCTCCTGTCCCTCCTTCCTACAGTCTCTCCCCCTCTCTAGCCTTCCTTCCCTCCCTATCCCGCCTTTTCTCCCCATTCCCTTTTTCTTCCTGCCCTCCTCTTCCTCTCCATTCCTTCCTCTTCTCTCCACCCCCACCAAGGGTGTTGTGAATAATCCTACTAATCTGTGCCATTGGATAGGTTAAAGGCTGCCTCTTCTCCCTGTGGTTTGTTTCCTAAAAGAACTTTTTTCTTCTCTTTGTTTACTGCACAGGTGATTCAGTCTCATGGTAGAAATATCAGGAAGGAGAAGGAAATCAGATGAGAGAAAACCAAGAGAGTAATTGCTCCCCATGATCTTACAACCCTGAAAGAACCACTTTTACCTTTTTGGTGTGCTGTTTTCCCAGACTCTCTTCTCTCCCTCTCTCACCCCCTCCCCACCTTCCTTTTATCATACTGTTGTAGAATGGTTCTTGAATGTGGTGTTTCTTAACTTGCTTTCTTTCAGCAACTAAAACCAAACTAAAACCCAACCCACCGAACTCCTTTCCATGATATTCAACAGGCTTATGATACATCATTTCAGTGCCTGCAGAATGCTCCTGTGTATCCGTGGACTTTAATGTTTCTGTAATCATTCCCGCATTGTTGGACATTCAGGTGGTGCCCAGTTCTTCCCCTGTGTTTAAAACCAGCACTGTGTGCTCTGATGAGTGAATCCTTCCTCGTCAAGCCAAATCGCTGCTAGCATCCTGGATGGTCTCCTCAACTGTGGACCTGCAGAATCCACAGAGGGACATTTCAAAGACTTTTCCTGTGTGTTGCCAAAAGGCCCCCTTCATAAGCATTGTTCCAATTTGCACTCATGCCAGCCAGCACAGCTAGTAAAAAGAGTATGGCCCTTTCCCCTGAATTGCCTCTTGGTCACTGTAATTGGTGTGTGTGTGTGTGTGTGTATGTGTGTGTATGTGTGTGTGTGTTTGTGTGTGACTTGGCCAGAGTGATGTATTGCAAAATGGTATTTCTCTATTCTTGGTTATGTCACTTAAATATAACTGGAATTGAACACTGTTAATCACTCCTTCCTCCAGTGCATGTCCTTTTCCACATTGTCAGAAAAATAAATCACCTTTATTTCAGTGAAACAACAGCAACAAAAAATTCACAGGGCAGATAAGTTAACAGAAGAAAATTAAAAGCATCAGTTTTCCAACCTAATGAATACACAACTTCCTGGAATATATTCATCTTCACCTGTTCAGTAACTTTCATTTGATATGTGTGTGAATTTAATGTATATAATGTTCCAATATCTGCTTTTTCATACATAAATTATGTAGGTTATAGACATAGATGTATAGATATTCTTGAAGTTCTTTTTATGTCATTAAATATTCTTCTAAATTAGTTTCCATGGCTGTTTAGTTTAGCAGGGTATCAATGAGCCAAATACAAGGACAATATATATATTCAACCACATATATATACACTTATATATATAATGTATATGTACATCTCTATACATTGATATTCATATTTAGATGTAGAAATGAGGACATTTATTTTCCTTTAACTACAACTTTGTTGAACACCAGTCCAAAGGTTTCAAGAATATCATTTGCACAAATCTTACTTACATTCAAGATTATTTTCTGAACATTGTTCAAATAAAACGGAAATATCAAAAGATGTGGGTGGGTTAAATTTTTTTAATTTTTGTTTTGGTTTCTCAGTAAATGACTATTTTTAATGATAGCATTTTACCTTCATAAGGACACAAACATTGTGAGAGCACTTGAAAATATGAACAATTTTCTGGACTTTATATTACAATTCCTTCTACAAATCTCCATTCTTTTATTAGGGTAATAGGAGATATTTTAGTAGATTTATTTTAAACATTTATATTTGTACAAATAATACATTATCATAATAGATTTTAAAAAGATTCTGATAAGGATAGGAATCAAGTATTACTCTTCATTATACTAGACATCAAAATGTTTTGAAATGTTTACAGCTTATATATAAATAATACTTCCAAAAATGTAATACAGAATGCTTCACTGTGGAATTATTTTCATCATATCAAGTCTCCTTTATCTTTCCAAATTATTAAATATGGCCCTCTAATTTTGTTTTTATTTAATGTTCCACTTTGTGGATGAACTATTGTTTCTAAGACACAGTCCCTTGATATACTTGTAAATGGTTTTGGTGTCACCCCTGTAAAATTTATATTATGGGAAACACATTTGCAGGTGATTATCTCCTAATATTTAGGGATATTTCATTACTTTGTGTACCTTGTGATTTGTTGACAAGGGCTTTTGTCAATGCAATTTATTTCCATTAACAGTATGAGAGTTCATATTTCCCTGCTTATCTTTTTAAATTAGTTTTTTTGAACTATGAAAAATCGATTAAGCTTATAGATTTTTCTTTCATTGTTTTATTTTAGAAGTACACTGTTTAAAGGTATGAATATTGCACACACACACATATGCTCAACCACTTTAAAGAAGCTATTCTTTTGCAGGTTTGCCTACCTGTATATTTTAAAACAAAACTGAAGCATACTAAATTTATTCTATATATTCATAATGTAGTCTGTCAAATTTCCTTTACAATATATTGCAAATACACTTAATACAGCTTTTACTATTCAATATTCTTCCATAAGTCATTACTATTGTACAGACATCAGATTTTTAAAGTTTTTAAAAAATTTTTATTCTTTTACCTTGGACATTAGTTTTTAAATCTTCCCCACTAAAGCCAAGTCTGTGCTAAATAACTTTCCAGTATCTCTCTTCCAGTATTTATTTATTTTTATTTTTTTACTTAAATTCTTTTATTGGTACATTTTAGG